ATCGCTCAGCCTCAGCCCAGGGCTTACAGTTTTTCCCAATTGTTTACACACATTTTCTGGTACTTGAGACACAATTACCACAACATGTAACCAAGTAGCCAACCCCCCTAACCAATTCTGCGAAACTACAAGCACAATTCCTGCTTTGCTCTCAAATTTCAAATCTAAAACACACTTTTCTCAAAACACTACACACAATTCTCTGCTGTTGGCACAATTTTAATACAGGAACTATCTTGTTCTCACAAGGAACACACAGCTATTCAATTGTGCACACTGACTCATCACAAGGGCAAACACCCGTCACACAGTTTTACAATCAGCAATCAGAACTTTAGCATATAAGGGCAACAGGTGAGCTCTTCTGTGTTGGAGCAATGGATGCCAACTTTGGAAACAGAGGCTGAGCCAGAGGAGTGAGAGTGAGAGTAAGAGGAGGAGGATGAGGAGGATGAGGAAGAGGAAGAGGAAGACCAAGGACCGTAATCTCTGAAGAGATCCGAGCCACAGGTCAACAGGGTGCAATTTGAAGGAAACTCAGAAAGAGTCAAAGAATTGCGATATAACTATGTGCAAGTGAGTCCCGCAATTGATGCATACACTCAACACTGTGTACAGTAAATTATACATATTTCAATATTGTAATCATAATGATGGTGCTTCACACTAGTGACCACTCCACGTTTATTTCTGATATTGCCACGTGTGTTTCAGAGAGTCCTTGAGCTAGAGACAGCTGCAGTGGAGCACCAGTTCATCTTCATTGATGAGGTTGGATTCAACCTCACAAAAAGATGAAAGAGGGGAAGGAATATCATTGGCCAGTGTGGAGGGACCATCACAATGTGTGCAGCGCTTGGCTACCATGGCATCATCCATCACCATGCTACCCTTGGCCCCTACAACTCCGCCCATCTGATCACATTCCTGAACACCCTACATAACACACTCATTCCACCAGACCAGGTAGATGGTCCAGAACAGCCCAGGTACGTTGTCACTCGGGGCAACGTAAGTTTCCACCGGGCTGCTGTGGTTCATAACTGGTTCAGTGGCCACCCACGCTTTTCAGTTGTTTATCTCCCTCCATATTCTCCATTCCTCAATCCCATTGAGGAATTGTTTCTGCATGGAGATGGAAGGTGTATGACCGACAGCCACAAACCCGTATACCTCTTCTCCAAGCTATGGAGGATGCATGTGGAGATATAGCAACTGATTCTTTTCATGGCTGGAATCGCCATGCTAGGAGATATTTCCCCCGCTGCTTGGCCAGGGACAACGGTGCTTGTGATGTGGATGAGGCGCTGTGGCCAGACCGCAACAGAAGAGAGGATGCAGCATAGTTTTATTGTTTTACTGTAACTGTATACAGTAAATTTCTGTTGTATGTAGTGTATGTGTGCAACTTTGTGTTGGTTGGGAATGGGATAAACATTGTGTACAATGTTTTGTGGGGAAAATAAAATAATTTCTACCATGTATTTGTGTGTTCAGAGTGTAAAAACAATATTCTGACATAACAACACATGCATGTATTTACTGTCTGTAGTATAGTAGGTGTAACACTGAACCAAAAAGGCTTTAGTCATTATGATGAATGGAGAAGAAGTGTTTTCCATTCATCATAGTGTTTAACATTGAGCACATGAGTGTTCTGCTGGTTCTTATAAATGTCTATTCATATGATGGTTTGTGTGTCATTTGACCACAAAATCACATTTTGAGGAGAAAGTACATTGTTTTGAATGTGAAGTTTAATTTTGCAGGTTAAGTGAGGGGTTTTGCCCATTGTGTGTGTATTTTCTGGATTTGTGTGTAGAGTTCTGAAAATATGGGGCATGCTTTCAGAAAATGTGTGTAAACAATTGAGAACAACTGTATTAAAGGTTACTCAGAAGTTTTCAAATTTGTATTCTGAGAACTACTTCACTGAAGCTTTAATAACGAATAAACTACGTTTTAATAAGCTTCACTGACAATTACACATTTTTATATACAACTGTTAAACAGTAGAATCTTGAATGTGCAGGAGGCGTGAATCTGTCGTGTCCAAGTCTGCAGCCTTGAATGTGCAGTTAGTCTTGAATCTGCAGTTGCAGTTACACCTTGGTCCTTCAGAGGTCGCCGTCTCAAAAACAGCACAAGCCTGAATCTGCGGTCTCCAGGTCTGCTGCGATATACCATTGACCAAAGCTGCTGTAAATGCTCAGCCTGGCCGTTTGCATAGCGAGAATTTGGTCTAGCCCACTAGGCTAGTAAATGCTCCCATTAGTGATGTGTCGATCGCGAACGAACCGGCTCTAAGAGCCGGCTCTTTGAAGTGAACGACGGGAGCTGGCTCGTCATTGGGAGCCGTCCCCTCCCCTTTTGCTTTGGTGAAAGCCACAGGCGATTGGTCAACATGTGTAACTGCGTGTCCAGACTGTCCACACACAGAGCAGTAGGGGTGGGGAAGAGGGAGGATAAGACTCAGATACACAGCAGAGCACATGCGGGTGGAGGGAGACGAGAGGGAATGAGGAGGAGGAAAAAGGCGAGAGAGAGAGAGAGAGAGAGAGAGAGAGAGAGAGAGAGAGAGAGAGAGAGAGAGAGAGAGAGAGAGAGAGAGAGAGATAGGAGAGTGTGACGAAGACGGTGAGAAAATGAGCGCCAGCAGTCGGAAAGTGGAGATTTCTGAAAGTGTTCAGTTATTAAATCCATAGAAATTATAAATATTTGATATATAGCCTTTTTTTTACATTAGTAAATCATTTTACACATAGTTTTGCATTATTTTGGTTATAAATGTACTCTACGCAACAGAAAATCTGAGGAGCCACTTAGGAGCCGAAAAAGCCGGCTCTATTTGGTGAGCTGAGCCAAAAGAACCGGCTTTCTAAAAAGAGCCGGAATTCCCATCACTAGCTCCCATTTCCTCGAGTTCAACTGTAGGCCACGCCCTCTCCGCGTCTTCGCGTCACGTAACGACGTACAGACTCGGAAGTAGAAGAGCTTCACTACTCTTCTGTTGGACTCTCCGCGTACATCCATTCCTCAGGTGACTATTAGTTTCTGAATGACTTTTGTGGTTTTTATTTGTTTACGTTCTTGATAATTCTCCGTCGTCGCCCTCTCCGCGCGACCTTCCGGTTTGCAGCCGTCCTTCATGCTGTCGTTAGCTCCCTTTAGCAGATACATCGGCATCGGCCTGGAGCTGTATATGTTGAGGTTAAAGTGCTGAGTCATTAGTAGCTGTTGCTTTGTCAGGTTTGTGAAGATGGGCGCGCTTTCTAAGGAGTATGGATACGTGGTGCTGACTGGCTTCGCCAGCATGATCATGGTGGGACACCTGGCCTTTAAAGTGGGCGCAGCCCGCAAGAAGTACGGCGTAAAGGTGAGCAGCGAGCTCCACTTGGAGCTGACTGAAGGTAAAATCACACGATGCATCATCTCCCTGTGCCTTTCTGCTGTTCCAGTGTCCTCAGATGTACAGCGATGACCCGGAGAACGGACACATCTTCAACTGCATCCAGAGAGCCCACCAGAACACGTAGGTATCAGCAGATCCTGCACACCTGTTTGACTCCATCACCTTGGAAACGAATGGAAAGTAGGTGAAGGTTAACGCGTTCTCAACTTTCACCAGCCTGGAACTATACCCAGCCTTTCTGTTCTGCCTCGCTGTCGGGGGAATGCACTGCCCTGTGAGTTTTGTCCTATCCAGCCAAGTCGAAACCCTTTTCATGCTTTCATCTCATCGCAGGATTTAATCATTTTCATGTGTTTTATTGCGCTTTGGCAGTGTCTCACCAGTGGACTTGGAGCTGTGTGGATTATCAGCAGAGAGGTGTACGCGCACGGATACTCCACAGGAGGTAAGATGAACGTTTCTGCCCTGATTTCTGATTTTTACTGAAACATCAAACGTGTCCGTTTGAATCAGAGCCCAAGAAGAGAATGCGGGGAGCTTTTGGGAATCTGGCTTTACTGGGTATGATGCTGACCACATTCAACTTTGGCCGCCATCTCCTGGGCTGGTGCCCACCAGGGTTCGGACCTCTGCGGTCTAAATGCTGTCACTAACCAGGACGAAGACTGTAATACTGCCTATGTGCAACCACTATGACTCTAATCACTGCAGCTGAGCTGTGTAACAGGTCAGGATCACGTTTAGTGACCCGGCTGGTTTTTCCTGAAACAACGTGCTGAATGTGTTTGCTCGTAGTGCCTCTTCCACTTTTGCATCGACAAAATGAAAGATATGTAACAATTATGTTCATGTAAAATGAGTCAGTTGTTGATTTCTTGAAGTAAAATCCTGTATAATCCAGTTTTGTTTGTGATGTTTATTATAAATCACAATAAGACAGATGTAACGTTGATGGGGGGAGTTCATGTTTTGTAACGAGGTTGTCTGGAGCAGGAGTCATCATCTTACCTGCAGCAGTAAGAGCTTCTTAGGAGGACTCTGACAGCAGTAGCTCAGGTGGTAGAGCGGGTTGCCTCATGATCGGAGGGTCATGGGTTCAATTCCAGCTCCCGCCAGGGGTATCCTGCTGGTGTGTCCTTGGGCAAGACACTTCACCCAACTTGCCTGTGTTGGTGGTGGTCAGAGGGGCCGACAGCGCCAAATGGCAGCCTCGCCTCTGTCAGACCTCCCCAGGGCGGCTGTGGCTACAAGTAGCTTACCATCACTAGCAGTGTGTGAATGTGAGAGTGTGTGAAAGCGTCTTTGGGTGTCTAGAAAAGCGCTAAATAAGTTCAATGCATTATTATTATTAATAACTCCATGCTTTCGTTCTTTTTTAAACACAGAAACAGTTTTGTTTACCTGTTTGTAGCTACAGTTTCGCCGACGGCTGCCGGCTTCTTCAGGCTGATGCTGATGGTGGCGCGTACCTGTAGCTACAAACAGGTAAACAAAACTGTTTCTGTGTTTAAAAAAGAACGAAAGCATGGATTTAGAAAGACACAGCAAGAACACACCTAAGATTATTAATAACTATTTACTACTAATACTACCACAGATATTCTATTAAAACAAATATTTTTGCCTCAGTCTCTGGAAATATCTGTTAGCAATATTTTTAAAAAATGGCATTCCCATCTCACCAGGTGGTGAGAAAATCCCACCAAGCCTGGCATTTCCTCACTTTTCTGGGTACATCTTTTGTCGTCAGTCGTGGTTTCATTTCTGGTTTTGTTTCCAGACACAAAAGAGAAGAACGCTAAAAAGCTGCTGTTTCATTAGGTTTCCCATTTACAATCCACCCTGGACAAGTGGATTCCTGCATATCGGGGTGTATTTATTGGTTCTGCGGCATGCCAGAGGAGGTGGTCACTAGTGATGGGAATTCCGGCTCTTTGTAGAGAGCCGGTTCCTTTGGCTCAGCTCACCAAAAAGATCCGGCTCTTTCGGCTCCCATCCGCCACTTCATAGATCACTAGTGGTTACATTTGGTTTCATTCTATCAAAACGAAACCGAAACCCTCATTTCAAATAAAATTCTCCAGATTCATGATGCCAAACATCTCATATGATTGTTTTACTCTGCATCAGGTCCAGGTACACCAACATGACCCATCTCCAGTCTGAATAGCCACCTGACACCAGTGTGATGTCATGGTTTCTACTGACGTTTGGAGGTTTGTGTTTCCTTTGATGTAAATTCAGTTTTTAACTGGTTGTAACGGTTCTCCAGACTGGGAAACATCTGCCTGCTGCAGATACAAACCACTGAACGTTTCGCCTTTTCTGCACCTTTATTAATCACCTGAGCTGGAAGCTGTTGTGTCAACATAGGTGTGTGTGGAGAGGGAGCGGCTCTCCCCTTCAGAACTGATTTATTGCCCAAAGTCCGCCTTGCTTGTCCAGACAGAAGCAGTGGCTCTGCAGAGCTGCTGCTTTCAACACTTCAGTCATGCATAGGTCACAACAACAGTGTGATGCATTAGTGGACACCTACACAACATCTCACACTCTGGATTCATGGCTTTATTTATTATTATTTTATTCATTTAACAAGTCTTACATTTTATGAGTTTTTACAGCTCCTAACAGAAAACACTGAAGCTTTAAACCGATGCTTCTTGCACCACATGTTCATTACTCTACTGTGATGAAGATAACACCAAGCTGTTCCTGAAACAATGTGTGATTATACATTTTACAACACATTTAGCACTGCTTTACCTTCACAATTTCATCTAAGTGTGTTTTAGTGTTGCCGCGTCTCTGATGGAGGACATTAGTGGATTTAATGTCCAGCAACTTCAAACGGCATCAAACCACAGCTTTATTACAGGATTTTATTTACAAGCTGCAGCACTAAAAACATCCAGGTTGGGATGTGGTTACATTTTGACTGTTTTTTTTTATCAAATATATGACAATAATTAGGAATCTAAGGTTTGCTTTGATTTTTGTGTCAACTTTAAGACGTCATTCAGCTTTAAGGCAGCAGTTTGGATTGAAAGTGCTCTGAAATATTTGGTCACATATTTAAATGAATGCTCTTATTGTTATGGGCATGTTGGCAGCTTGAACACAATTCCCTTTAGATCCTCTCTCAGCCTCTGTATCCACAGGGTGTCCGCGGGTCCTTAAAAGTCTTAAATTAGCTTTTCCAAATTTAAGGCCTTAAAAATCCTTAAAAATTACAAATAATCCTTAAATACAGTTTCCAGAGGTCTTAAATTACCAAAGACCCAATAAACAAGATTATTTTATTTCTATAAAATTTTCGTGAATTTCTGGTTAGTGTTCAGCATTTTTATGTACGACGTTGGCGTAAGCGGAACCGTACACATGCAGTTGGTTGTGAAAGGGGGCTATTTTTAGATGAGCACATTAGCTGGTTAAGCTAGTGGGAGCTTGCGCCATGGGGAAGTGGAAGTTTAATGGTAACTGGATGGCTAATCCCACAATCGTGGCGTGGTTAGCACCGGTTCCAGGCAATAGCTGGAAATTATAGCTTAAATTTAATTTTTTTAAACGATAAATGACCCGTACTTGTATAGCGCCTGTCAGAGTACAGACTCCAAAGTGCTTTACACTACAGTGTATCATTCATCCATTCACACACACATTCACACACTGATGGTGATGAGCTACGATGTAGCCACAGCTGCCCTGGGGCGCACTGACAGAGGCGAAGCTGCCGAGTACAGGCGCCACCGGTCCCTCCGACCACCACCAGCAGGCAGGGTGGGTTAAGTGTCTTGCCCAAGGAAACAACAGCAGAATTCTCTGTCCGGAGCCAGGATTGAACCTGCAACCTTCCGATTACTGGACAACTCATCCTGTTGAGCTACTGCTGCCCTGCTTAAATAGCTTACATTTGGTCAAAGTGGCCTTAAAAAAAGGTCTTGAAAAGTCTTAAATTTGGCTCCCTTAAACCTGCAGATACCCTGATCCAGCTAAACGCTCAAGAACCTGAGTTCACAGTGAAACATTAATCCAGATTTTCTCCAGGGGGCAGTGTGATCATTTGTGTCATTTTAAAGTGCAGTGCAGAGTGTGATTCATTTGCTTCAGGTAGGGAAGAAAGGCTTCCCACAACAGCCAGAGCCAGCAGGACTAGAGAGAATGCAGAAGAAATGTGGAAAACGTTTGATTTAAAAATAATGGCGAGTCCTCGGGCAACATTTTCATCGTGGGTGTAACCGGAAACTGCACTGAGGCAAAAGTATTCCTGCCGCCTTCCAGTCATCAGTAAACACACATTCTCTGCGTGTTGGAAGAGTTGAACAGGATGTGAGCTTCCGTCAGTGGCTGTACCTGGAGAGGAGATTCTGCATGATAACAACTGTGAGACAAATCCAAAGTACTGAGCTACTTCAAGGTTAAACAATGTTATTCTGGATAGATGACACCGCTGTAAAAAGTATTACCTCCTTACAGATTTCTTCAACATAACATAGGTCAAAAGATCTCAAAAAGCAACATAACATAAATTCAAGAACAAACGAAACCTATGGTACTGCAGGACTCATTTCAGGCCAAGGTCAAAGGTCATGATTTCACAAAGATCTGTCTCACATTTACCAAAAAAAAAAACATCCTGATGATCCCAAATACTTCTGGGTTAATAATCAGAAGAACGTTCTGCAAGGTGGGCCTCAAGTTCCATCTGATGTCAAACTAACACTCAAGCATGGTGGTGGTTGTGTGATGGTCTGGGGCTGCACTGCTGCTTCAGGACTTGGGGACCACCTGCTGTAACTGATAGAACCGTGAATTGTGCTCTGTAGCAGAACATCCTGAAGGACAACGTTTAAATCTTTTACTATTCTTAACTTCTTAAACCTCACCATGTTCTCTGTCAAACATGGATGGTTTAGGTCAGACCTCCAAAAGGGTAACAGAACAGTCACAGTTCACGTTGCCGTGGCAACGGAGACAATGTCAATTCATAGAAAGCCTTTTGCATTAAAATGTATTATGTTGAGAACTGAATATCTCTGATGTATTTCCAACTTTTGTCCAAATAAAATGAAGTGAAAAGTAAACAAAAGAAAATTATTTTGTCTTAAACAAATGTCTAGAAGTTGGTCTCCAACATGACCTTCATGCTTAGGATCTCTGAGCTCCAACCATCCTCAATGTGGCTCAAAGCTTAGTGAGACATCCATCCATCCATCCATCCATCCATCCATCCATGCATCCATGCATCCACCTTCCGCTTATCTGGAGTCGAGTCGCAGGGGCAGCAATCTATGCAGAGAGGCCCAGACTTCCCTCCCTCCAGCCACTTGGGCCAGCTCCTCCGGGGGAATCCTGGCATTCCCTGGGCAGCAGAAAGACATATGGGCCATTCCCATCTGTACCGGGTCGGCCCGGGCCGTGTAGCCCCAGTCGGCCCCAGCCTGGCCCGGTTGATTCCACACATCCTTGCCTTAAGCCCATGTGGGCTGATTCTACCCACCAATCAGAGGCTTGCTCTAATGGAAGGTGTGAATTTGCTGTCAGCAGTGGGTGTGTTGGCCCTGGTCGGCCTGAAGCAGACCCCCTCGAGAAGAGGGCTGAGAATGAGCCTTGGTTGGCCCGGAAAAATACCAGGCCACCCAGATATGTAAACAACCTACGCTACCCGGCCCGGGCCGACCCGGTACAGATGAGAATGGCCCAATAGTCTCTCCAGCATGTCCTTGGTCTTCTTTTAGGTCTCATTCTGGTTAGACATGCCTGGAAAACCTCACCAGGAGGCATCCTAATGTGGCAAGGTGGATAAACGAGGGCCCGGGCGGGATTCGATCCCCAGACTCCCGGGTGAGAGTCATACGCTCTAACCAGTCAGCCAAAGGGACATCCCCTTGGCCAAATAGCCAAGGCGCATGATCAATCGGGACACTGTGACAGGACACTCACGCTGCCACACTAACTAGATGCCCAAGCTACTTCAACTTGTTCCTCTTGATGTGGAGGAGCAGCAAATCTACTCCGAGCCCCTCCTGGATGACTGGGCTTCTCACCCTATCTCTAAGGAAGATCCCAGCCACCCTGCGGAGAAAACTCGTTTCAGCCACTTGTGTCCGTGATCTCGTTCTTTCGGTCACTACCCAAAGCTCGTGACCATATAGGTCAGGGGTGGGCAATCTCTGTCCACGAGGGCCGGTGTCCCTGCAGGTTTTAGATCTCAGTCACCTTGGGTCATCACATGATTAGTTTGTTACCAGGTCTTTGGACAACTTCAGGACATGTTGAGGAGCTAATTTAGCAATTTAAATCAGCTGTGTTGGTTCGAGGACACATCTAAAACCTGCAGGGACACTGGCCCTCGTGGAGTGAGATTGCCCACCCCTGATATAGGTGAAGGTAGGAACGTAGCTCGGCTGGTAAATCGAGAGCTTTACCTTTCGGCTCAGCTCTCTCTTCACCGCAACAGACTGATAAAATGTCTGCATCACTGCAGACGCAGCACCAGTCCACCTATATCCACCTGATCCAGCTTTCCCTTGTTAGTGAATGAGACCCGGAGATACTTAAACTCTTCCACTTGGGGCAGGACCTCATCCCTGACCTGGAGAAGACTCAAGAACATGGTCTTGCATTCAGAGTAGTAGAGACAGATGTTGCAGATGTGTAATGCATCAGTATATCAGTGTGGAGACCCCTCCCCCAACCCACCAGACTGGTGTTTTATGTTTTACCATGGGGAGATCTTGGAGTCGGTGGAACTCAGGGTGGTTCATCCGCTGCCGGAACTTGAAGAAGAGAACGACGAAGACGATAGCAGTGGTGACAATAAACACTGACAACAGACCAGCCAGCAGAGGGTCTAAAGGAGTTCTGGAGCGGTGGTGTGGGCCCGTAAGTCCTACACGATACAGAAATAAACACTAGATGATGAAAAGAAAGAGTCAACCTCAGCATGTTTGATTGTTTTCTTCGTACCCTCATCTCCGACATTCAGCTCAGATGGAAACTCCTGATGTGAGGGTCCTGCAGGGCCCAGACCAGCCGAGGTCTGAGTGGGACCTACGTTCTGTGTGGAGACTGTAGTCCCTGATTCAGATGGGGGGTGAGAGGTGGAGGTGTGGTCTGTGGAGCTGGAGGCCTGGACTGTTGGAGGTGAAACGGTGGAGGTGGACTCTCTAGTTCTGCCTTCATGGACGATGGTGGAGCTTGACGTGGATGACACTGCAGCAGGTGAGAGTGAGGAGTTCAAAACGGGTCAGAGCACCAAGAGAACCACAAACAAATTCTGTCAACCCCACCAGCTGCTCAGGGAGCAGTCTGGAATGCCCCCCCCCCCCCACCCCCCGCCCCCCCCCCCCCCCACACACACACACACACACACTCTGTTTGGGCTTTAGCCATCAAATCAGCAGTACAACACTGGCGGTAGGGATTCAGCTTCCCTTTAAATCAGGTCAGCCTCCTGCTGTCAGAGACGTTCAGCTTCAACTGTCAGTCAGGAGTCTCACCACCAGAGGGCTCAGAGGTATTGTTTCATCACCCTCTTACTGCTTCTGTCATTTGCTTCAGTAAATGTTCTAAATTCTCTGAACCCTAGGCTCAGTTTTCCAGTCAACCACAGTTCTGGCCAAGCCATAAGTGGAAATCATGACTGGAACCACTTGAGACCCACTCGTTCCCTCCATGTCTTGAACACATCTTCAGCCTAAACACATGTCAGACAGGTACAGCTGTTATCTTTTACAAACAAACTCAAAACTCAACACACACGTTTCTAAAGGTGTGATCAGACCAACTGTGAAGGGTAAAGGTCAGTTCAGAGCTCAGGTGGCTCCTGTGCATCTGCTTGGACAGACAAATACTGACACTAGAGGTGCTGAAAAAAATCGATTCAAGTCTGAATCGGGATTCTTATTCATAAAGATTCAAAATCGATTCCAAGAACTCAAACATTTGGCATGTTACAGGTTTGAGATGTACTTTTTTGATCTTTGTTAGGAGAGCCAGTACTGCGTTTACTTTTGTGGTCCCATGAATTGAGATGATTTATGTTTGAATCTGCTGATAAGACGGCACTTGAATGTCATTTTTCCATACTCATAAATTTGAGATATTCTCATATTTATTTTCTAAGTTGATAAATGAGTACTCAGGATTACTCATATAACTTGTTTCTACACATACTTGAAAAGTATTTGACCGTGTTACTTTCAAAGCTACTGTTAGGTAACTACAGATTAGTTATATTTTACAAGGTAAGCAAAAATAAATGTTGCCTTTTGGTCAAAAGATTGTTTCTGTTTACAGTTTTAGAATCGCTTCAGTTTACATTGTAAATTTGCATTTTTGGAGCATGACCAGTTTAAAGTCAAATAACAATGTCCCATAGCTTTAACTAACTTGTACAACAAAGTAGTTCATCCTGGAGCTGACACTCTTTGTTAATACTGTTTGTGAATCGATTTAAATAGAGAATCAATTCTGAATCGAATCGGCACCCCAAGAATCAGAGTCAAATCAAATCGTGAGTTGCTCTACGACTCACATCCCTAACAGACACGTTAGAGGTGCTGGTCCAGGAGGAAGTAGACTAGGAACACCAGGAACAGCCATTACTGATGAGAGTCAGGCAACTGTTGTCCACCCTGTCCTTCGTCATGAGACACAATGAGGACAGCAGGACAAAGTTCAACTGAGCAGACGGTTTGTGTGCAGCATCATCAGGACATTCAGAGAAGAGACCAGCTAAACATGTCTCACGCTGGACTCTAAGCGCTGTAATCTTCATTCCAATGCTACAGAAATGTGTTTTGTTCCTTTCCAAGAGTGGAAACACGACCAGATGAGGACGTCTCTTTTCTTCCAACAACAAGGAGCATCATTGTTGACATGGTCATTAGTGCCATCCAATTCTGTGAAATCCAGCAGAGTGATTGAAGACAGTCAACTTTGATGGGAAGAGAAGAAAGTGATTTTAGAGCTCCTTCATCTCAAGACACTTAAATATGAGGCTGAACCAGCATCCCTAACCCTTTCATCGCCATCACCCTTACTGCAATCAACAATGACTGTGTCCTTCAGCACAGCAGACTTAGCATCCAACAAGTGTACAGGGTGCTTTTGGGTAAAACTCTGAAAAGTTACAAAGGTCTACGACATCAGGATGGTTTTCTCATGATTCATATCAAAAGAGAATATTCTCTTTGATGTGGACGATGTGCCCTGGAAAGACCATGTGCACAAAGACGTGATGATGTGGAAGAATCAGTGAATTATAGTAAGTGTATTTTTCATATTTCCATTTTTGGTTATTTTTTAAAACACAGAAAAGGTTTCTTTTTACCTTGCTTGCTGACAGTTTCCTTCGCGGCTGCAAACATCCTCAGAGCTGACCCTGATGGTGGCGTCACTTCCTACTCTGTTTATCCGCGGGCAGCAGAGGACGTTGTCGCCCTCTGCTGCCCGATCCCCCCTCTCCGATGATGCAGTTCCAATGCGCGATCCAATGAGTAGAGCCCATCGTCTCTGTTCATGGTCCCACATCCACGTCTCCTTATCTCTATGGCTTCCTTTATCCATCTTTATGTATTTCTGCTGTTCGGTGTTTATGATCCTGACATGGGCAATAAACAAAGGAAAACAACAAACAACAACAGAAAGAAAAGAACAACCAAAAAAAGAACCAGAAACCCAGAAAGACAAGAACCAAAACCAGTGATAACTCTACCATACATCAGAGGCATAACAGAAAAAATAAGAGCAACAATGAAAAAACACAACATAAACACACCACTCCCCCTTGAACCGTCACCTTATCGTGGTGGAGGAGTTTGAGTGCCCTAATGATCCTTGGAGCTATGTTGTCTGGGGCACTTAGTGCCCCTGGTAGGGTCTCCCATGACAAATTGGTCTTAGGTGAAGGGTGAGACAAAGAACGGTTCAAAGGATCTTTCATGGCGGTTAAAACGAAGAGTCGGAGTACCCGGCCCGGAGGGTTACCGGGGTCCCACCCTGGAGCCAGGCCTGGGGTTGGGGCCCGTGAGCGAGCGCCTGGTGGCCGGGCTTTCGCCCATGGGGCCCGGCCGGGCCCAGCCCGAACCGGATACATGGGCTCGTCCAACCGTGGACCCACCACCCGCAGGAGGAACATGAAGGGTCCGGTGCAATGTGAATCGGGTGGCAGACCAAGGCGGGAGCCTTGGCGGTCCAATCCCCGGACAAGAAAACTAGTTTTTGGGACATGGAACGTCACCTCGCTGGCGGGGAAGGAGCCGGAGCTTGTGGCAGAGGTTGAGCGGTACCGGCTAGATATAGTCGGACTCACCTCGACACATTGCATTGGCTCTGGAACCCGAGACCTGGAGAGGGGTTGGACACTCTACTTTGCTGGAGTTGCTCCGGGTGAGAGGCGGAGGGCTGGGGTTGGCTTTTTGTTAGCCCCGAGACTCTCTGCCTGTGTGTTGGGGTTTACCCCGGGGGACAAGAGGGTAGCTTCCTTGCGCCTTCGGGTCGGGGAACGGGTCCTGACTGTTGTTTGTGCTTATGGGCCAAATATCAGTTCAGAGTACCCACCCTTTTTGGAGTCCCTGGGACGAGTGCTAGATAGTGCTCCATCAGGGGACTCCATTGTCCTGCTGGGGGACTTCAATGCTCACGTGGGCAATGACAGCTTGACCTGGAGGGGTGTGATTGGGAGGAACGGCCCACCTAATCTGAACTCGAGCGGTGTTTTGTTATTGGACTTCTGTGCAAGCCACAGTTTGGCCATAACGAACACCATGTTCGAACATAAGGATGCCCACCGGTACACTTGGTACCAGGGCAGCCTAGGTCACAGGTCGATGATAGATTTTGTAGTCGTATCATCTGACCTGCGGCCATATGTTTTGGACACCCGAGTGAAGAGAGGGGCGGAGCTGTCAACTGATCACCACCTGGTGGTGAGTTGGATCAGATGGCAAGGGAACATGCCGCGTAGACCTGGCAGACCCAAACGCATAGTGAGGGTCTGCTGGGAACGCCTGGCAGAAGAACCTGTCAAGACGGTCTTCAACTCCCACCTCCGGCAGAGCTTTGACCACGTCCCGAGAGCAGTGGGGGACATTGAGTCCGAGTGGGCCTTGTTCCACTCTGCGATTGTCGAGGCGGCTGTTGCTAGCTGTGGTCGTAAGGTGGCCGGTGCCAGTCGTGGTGGCAACCCCCGTACCCGCTGGTGGACACCAGAGGTTCGGGGAGCCGTCAGGCTGAAGAAGGAGGCCTACAGGGCGTGGCTGGTCTGTGGGTCTCCAGAGGCAGCAGACAGGTACCGGATAGCCAAGCGGGGTGCAGCAGTGGCAGTTGCCGAGGCAAAATCTCAGGCGTGGGAGGAGTTTGGTGAGGCCATGGAGAAAGACTATCGATCGGCTCCAAAGAGGTTCTGGCAAACTGTCCGGCGCCTCAGGAGAGGAAGGCAGCAACTCGCTCACACTGTTTACAGTGGGGATGGGGAGCTGCTGACGTCAACTGAGGCTATAGTCGGACGGTGGAAGGAATACTTTGAGGAGCTCCTCAATCCCACCAATGCGCATTCCGAGGAGGAACCAGAGCTGGGAGGCCTGGGGATGGACTGTCCGATCTCGGGGGCAGAAGTTGCTGAGGTAGTCAAACAACTACACAGCGGCGGAGCCCCGGGGGCGGATGAGGTTCGTCCTGGGTATCTCAAGGCTATGGATGTTGTAGGGCTGTCATGGTTGACACGTCTCTACAACATTGCGTGGTCATCGGGGGCAGTTCCTAGGGAGTGGCAGACCGGGGTGGTGGTCCCCATCTTTAAGAAGGGTGACCTGAGGGTGTGTTCCAACTATAGGGGGATCACATTCCTCAGCCTCCCTGGAAAGGTCTACTCCAAGGTACTGGAGAGGAGGGTCCGATCGATAGTTGAATCTCAGATAGAGGAGGAGCAATGTGGTTTTCGTCCTGGCCGTGGAACTGTGAACCAGCTCTATACCCTTGCAAGGGTGATGGAGGGGGCATGGGAGTTTGCCCAACCAATCCACATGTGCTTTGTGGATTTGGAGAAGGCTTATGACCGTGTCCCCAGGGGCACCCTGTGGGGGACGCTCCAGGAGTATGGGGTGGGTGGCTTTCTGTTAAGGGCCATTCAGTCCCTTTACCAGAGGAGCGTGAGTTTGGTCTGCATAGCCGGTAGTAAGTCGGACCTGTTCCCAGTGAGGGTTGGACTCCGCCAGGGCTGCCCTTTGTCACCGGTTCTGTTCATCACTTTTATGGACAGAATTTCTAGACGCAGCCGTGGTGTGGAGTGTGTCGAGTTTGGTGGCAGGAGAATCTCGTCTCTGCTTTTTGCGGATGATGTGGTCCTCCTAGCTTCATCCAGCTCTGACCTTCAGCTCTTGCTGGGTAGGTTCGCGGCCGAATGTGAAGCGGCTGGGATGAGGATCAGCACCTCCAAATCTGAGACCATGGTTCTCGACCGGAAAAGGGTGGCTTGCCACCTCCGGGTCGGGGGAGAGGTCCTACCTCAAGTGGAGGAGTTTAAGTATCTCGGGGTCTTGTTCACGAGTGAGGGTAGGAGGGATCGGGAGATCGACAGGCGGATTGGTTCGGCGTCTGCAGTGATGCGGACGCTGAGTTGATCTGTCGTGGGGAAGAGGGAGCTGAGCCAGAAAGCCAGGCTCTCGATTTACCGGTCGATCTACGTCCCAATCCTCATCTATGGTCATGAGCTTTGGGTAATGACCGAAAGAACGAGATCGCGGATACAAGCGGCCGAAATGAGTTTCCTCCGTAGGGTGGCCGGGCTCAGCCTTAGAGATAGGGTGAGGAGCTCGGACATTCGGGAGGGACTCGGAGTAGAACCGCTGCTCCTCCGGATCGAAAGGAGCCAGTTGAGGTGGTTTGGGCATCTGGTCAGGATGCCTCCTGGACGCCTCCCCGGGGAGGTGTTTCGGGCATGTCCTGCCGGCAGAAGGCCCCCGGGTCGACCCAGGACACGTTGGAGAGGTTACATCTCCAATCTGGTCCGGGAACGCCTTGGGGTCCTGCCGGAGGAGCTGGTGGACAAGGCCGGGGAGAGGACGGCCTGGAGCTCCCTAGTTGGGATGCTGCCCCCGCGACCCGGACCCGGATAAGCGGAGGAAGACGAGAGACGAGACGAGATAAACACACCAACAAAACCATACACAACAGTTAGAAACAGACTAGTGCACCCAAAAGACAAAATATCAGCTGGACTTAAATGTGGAGTCGTTTACGAAATCCCATGTAAACTCTGCAATAAAACATACATAGGAGAAACCGGACACCAACTCAACACACGAACAATAGAACACAGAAAGGAGTGTGAGAAAGAAACAAGTGGAAAACACACGAGAGCAGCAAAAGAAGAAGCAGAAAGCACAATAAAGAAGTCAGCCGTAACAGATCACTGCATAAGAGGAAACCATGTAATGGACTGGGACAACACAAGGATCATAAACACCGAACAGGAATACAAAAGATGGATAAAAGAAGCCATAGAGATAAGGAGACGTGGATGTGGGACCATGAACAGAGACGATGGAGTTTACACGTTGGACCGCGCACGGGACTGCATCATCGGAGAGGGGAGAGCGGGCAGCAGAGGGCGATAACGTCCTCTGCTGTCCGCGGATAAACAGAGTAGGAAGTGACGCCACCATCAGCATTAGCTCTGAGGAAGTCTGTAGCCACAAACGAAACTGTCAGCAAGGTAAAGAAAAACCTTATCTGTGTTTTAAAAAAGAACCAAAAATGGAATTAGAAATCAGACACAGCAAGAACGTACCAAAAATGTGTTTTTCGTTTTGGTTTGTTAGTTTGTTGGCATTGTTATCTACATTCAGCACTTCATATCTCTCTGATCAGGGTCTTTTTTGCTAAACACACTTAGAATAAATGTTTAAGGGTAACTTCAGGCCCTTGATGCTCTCTTCGGTCCTTGATGTAGAGTTTAATGAATGTTCTGTGGTGAATATAATTGTTGTTTATCAGTTCAGTGACCTATGGGTGTCCACTCTGAGACTGGGAGATTGTGGATTCAAATCCATGCTTGGGTCATACCAAAGACTTAAAACTGAGACCCACAGTTGAGGTGCAACTGTCATAATTATTTTTATATTTTTGGGGAAATGATGGGATTATGGGTTACATGGGGTGGTTTTAACCTGTAGGGTACTTTGAGCTGTATTTTTTGTATATGAAAAGTGCTATACAAATAAAGTTTGATTGATTGAGTGAGTGAGTGATTGATCGATTGATTGACTGATTGGTTGATTGATTGATTGATTGATTGATTGATTGATTGATTGATTGATTGATTGATTGATTGATTGATTGATTGGTCAAATGCAGAGAACAAACTTCACCAAACACTAGTATGTGTGTGTGACAACTAATGGAATTAAGTTCTTAATCTGTAGCTTATGATGTGAACACATTGTTTGGCTTTGAACTCCGTATGACCGATTTTGAGGTGAAAGTTTGATCTTGACAGTAAGTTTCGAGGTTTTGTCAGTTTGATCAAGATTAATAAATATTGGATTATTTTTAAATTAAAATATAGCTTTCAAAGGAAATACCGTACCTTTATTCTGATCACCTCTAAACACTTCGTGGAGGTATTATTTTCCTGGCACTGTTCCAACAGAGGTTGAGAAGGAAAGTTTTTTCCAGGAAATGAGTATATCAACAACAATAATAATAAAGTTCCATGGCAAAACATTAATCATCTTGATTAATTTTGTTATTGTACACCTTCCAAATGCAGTAATAATGTTGCTTGTGTGTGTGTGTGTGTGTGTGTGGGGGGGGGGGGGGTGGGGGGGGGGGTAGGTTTCGGGTTAGTCAATTAAAAAATGTATCTAAATATTTAGAGGCTTTGTAATTAATTAATCTTGATTAATCACATTTTAATCATTGAAGAAAATTTAAACCCAAGCAATTTTTTAAATCAAAAATAATATTAATGAGGCACAGATGACACACCCAGACTTTAACGAGTATATTTCTGTAACCACAATGCCTATTTGATTACTTTGGTCTCATTGTAAAGGTAATCATTTTGTTGGTGTGTAAATATTAGTATGTGTGTTATTGATGAAGTGTAAATGGAAATGGGACATTGTAAATGTTGTGTCCTGAACTGACCACTAGGTGGCAACAGAGCAAAGCTAACACATTTATAGAGGTGTAGTGTAGAGTTCAGGGGAAGTTCTGCTGATGGTTACAATGCTGTGTGTACGCTTGTCCCTCCTGCTGTATATGGATGAAGGCACTGCCTGCCTGCTGTACAAAACATAACAGTAAATAAGTAGATTTATTTTCCCTTTCCTTTCTTTTGTTCATGAAGAGCAGTGTGTCATGATTCGTTTAATTGTCGTTTTAGTTGTGTTTGGAGCACATAAAAGGCTTATAGGTCTTGTAGCCCAGACTCTGCAGTTTTGTTAGAGGTGCAGCTTGATGGTATTTATTGATAGATAGGACAGATTTTGATGCTACACTTAACCGGCCCCCGGCTCAAGGGGGTCAAATTGTAAAGCGTTATTTTGTTCTGATTAATTATTTGTAATCAACACATTAAATCGTCACATCTAATTTTTATATAACCTTCATGTCCATTAAAGTCTGTTCAAGCACAAAAAAACCATGTATTTATGTTTCAAAGCCCAGAACTGACTAAACTGAAGCATTAAACCAGGAAAGAAAGCAGATATGTAGGTTAAAGCTGGTTATTCACCAGGTTCTGTGCAGGATAATATTTATAAACACACATGGGAATCTCTGGTTGCATCATAAATCACGTGCACCTACTGAGAGCTTTTTCAGTTTGGCCTCCATGTTTATCTGCCGAAACACAAATCGGCTGCAACCTGAAAGTCGTTTAGCCATCTTTGTGTTACTTTTAAGCTCCTAAATGTGCAGACCAGCTGAGGAGGTTACATTTATCTCACCTATAAACGGGAATCTCCTTAATCAGGTTATGGCCAGAGTGCTGCCCCAGCCCTGGGGGGGGTGGGGTGGGGGGGGGTGGGGGGGTAGCTGAGATAGGCAGCATTTACTGACTGGGCTGTTTTATTTTAGGCTCCCATGTGGACAACGCAAACAAGCTAGACTTAGAAATTCACATGAAAGAAACAAACAAATAAGGATCACGATCAATAATAATAAATGCTGAGAGGAGCATGTAGAGCTGAGACCTGAGCCTGGAGAGGTGAGAGTGGAGCTACGCCAGTGTTGAAATGTCTCTGCTGTAGCGGTTGACACGTAGAAAGGAATCTTAGGTCCAGCTTTTGTTGGAGTCTCTGGTTGGACGCTCTCTTTAGTTGGGGAGGAGGTTGTGGGTCCAGCTGAGGTTCTGTCCCGTCCTGATGGATTGGTGTTCGGCTGCAGGAGCTCATGTCTGGGATCTTCGGTCAGATCAGGAGGTTTAGAGATTCCATCATGACCTAGTGCTGAGGTGAAGGCAGGAGGGAGAACCGCTCAGCGTGAAAGAATAACTAACTTTGACACACACTTGTTAGAAACAATGTTGAGTGACGTGTAAGGATATTACCTTATTTACCTCTCAACCCCGTTTACGTCTAGTTTTCCCCCAGAATCAGGGTTTAGATAAAGAAAACTTCACAAAGACACGCCCCTTGTAAGGAAACATTTGCATTCATTCATGCTGCTTTTATAAGCGTAACAATTAGTCAGCTCTAAGTAAATGCATTGGTTTGCAACAGCGTTACGTTAACACACAGTTGTATGCTCCAGAGCAAACCAACTAAACTCCCATTGGCAAGGATGTGGACTCGTTAAGAGTGACAGTTGTGTCCGTTGGCTGGTCTGGAGCCCACAGGCGTGTGTTAACACAAGAGCTAAAGACATCAGCAACAACCTTAGAGAAGAGACTGTTGCTGCCCACCAAATCTGGGAAGAGTTAAAGGTAGGGATGTCCCGATTTGATCACATGATGGGAAATAGACCCCGATCACATGGTTTCAGACTCGATGGGACCAGTGGCGTGTCCAGATCTTTTAAAATGGGGTGGCCCAGGTGAGACATAACTTTGTGCATGGGTGGCACCAATGGTTATGCTTTTTTTGTTTTACCCCCAAGCCTTTTGTGGACAATGAAAAGCCTATTTAAAGGTTAATTAGTGTGGTGTCACCTGGGGTGGCCAATCAGATTCCAAGGGTGGCATGTGCCACCCCAGGCCACTCCCTGGACACGCCCCTGGATGGGACTGGGCTTTACTTCCCGATCCAAGACCCGATCCGGACTTGGATACTGGGTTCAAATTACAGGAGAGCAACTTGGATTCTCCTTAAAGGTTGTCAGGCTCCCCTGACGCCCTTAACTTACACACCCAGCAGGAGCACAAAAGAGATCCAGTTTCTACCTACTTTATATTATTTACATGGACTCAGCGTAGCGCGGATTCTTTTGAGCAGAGACGCAGAGGGCAGGCAGACCGCTGATTATTCACGAACTCCAGCTGCGTTCGGCACATGGCCACAGTAACATTTTCTAAGTTTCTAAGTGGCGTCACCAAAAAATATACAAGTAACACACAGTCGTTCGTGTCCGTTCATTTTCTCTCTGGTAGGTTCTGTCTGTATTTGAGCGTCTCGCTGCCTTTTTGGATTTACTTTTTTCATCCTGCAATGAAAGGATTGTTTACTTTACGTCATCTCCTGCCTCTTGTCATCTGGGTAATCTGCACTTTGGGTCCTAACCATCCCTGCAACGTAACACGATCATGGTGAAATATGAAATAACACCAGGTGAAGAGGGTTCTGATTCCTGGTCACAATCAGATGTACACGCACGCACGCACACACACGCACGCGCGTTCATACCTATGCTGATCGCCATCAACACAGAAAGCACCAAATTCATCCCGGGTTTCATCTCTGAGGTCTGGGTAACTCAGCAGCGGCTCGCTCCGGTTGCTCTGATGCTGCTTCCGTTATACGTGATGCGACCGGGAACATCTTCCTCTTCATCATCATCATCATCATCTTCACCACCACCATCATCATCAGTGCTAAAAATATCCTGAGGGAGTCGGGCAAAAGAGAGAGAGAGAGAGAGAGAGAGAGAGAGAGAGAGAGAGAGGGTGGGGCCGGTCCGGTTCGGTCCGGCTGCCCTGCAGGCTGGCAGCGTGGGAGCGGGACACACACGCACACGTTACAGCGCGTGCCCACAATGCAGAAACCGCGCGCCCTCCAAAAACAGCGATTTAATTCTGCAAAAGCGAACTCGCTGATCCAATCAAACGTCATTGCGTCAGAGGCGCAGTTGTGTGCGTCAGGAGCGCCACAACGTGCAGAGCTGTGCGCGGAATAACTGTGCAGCGTTAATAACTATAGTCAGATACTTTAGCTGTCTTTACTGCAGCGCAACTTTTTAAAATGTAGTTTTGTTTTTGTTTCCTGTCCCTTGGAGGACATGTCTGCGCGCGGGCAGCCGGACCTGTCTCACTTTAGATCATTTCAGCTTTAAATCCAGACCAAGTCAGCATGGAGCCTCCAGCCGGCCCGGGACCCGGTCCGGTGGAGTTAGAGGTGACGGCGGAGAACGTGGAGTCGGTAAGTTTTATTACCAGGAAAACTACAGGAAACGTCTTCAGAATCAGTCAGGAAACAGCAACGTAACATTGTTATTATTATTATTATTATTATTATTATTATTATTATTATTATTATTATATTGTTATTATTATTATTTTATTATGATTTTATTATTATTATTATTATTATTATTATTATTATTATTATTATTATTATTATTATTATTATAGCACTTGTCTGGTCTGGTATTTGGAGACTGGCCCTGTGCAACATGACTCCAGCTGTAAACACATGCTGTCCTAATAATAACCAACACCCATGTGCTTCGGATTAGTTACCATGACAACACATTTTTTTACTATTAAGTAATTAGTCATCCAGCAGTATAATCACTAATCGTGACCCTGGACAGTTAGACCAGCTGTAGTTGGATGCAGACTTGTTCTATTTTTGTTCTCTTTGATGAAGCCCTGTGTCTGCTCTGCTCCGGCTCCTCCAGGCTCTCTACCAGCTCTACTTTGATCCCGACATGGAGCATAAAAATGTGGCCCAGAAGTGGCTGACCCAGGCCCAGTCCTCCGCTCAAGCATGGCGGTTCTGTTGGGTCCTGCTCGGGCCAGACAAGGTTCTGATCTCTGCAGTCACATGTTTTCATTTTCTGATATTTCTGTGCAACATAAACTACACACACTGGTCACTTTATTAGGTACACCTGTTAGCACACATATGTAACCAGCCAATCAGAAGGTAGCATTTATAAATCTCACTGAGGTTTAAACTGAGCATCAGAATGGAGAAACAATGAGATCGAAAGAGCTGTTGCTTATGTGGACTGATGGGTGACTCTACTGGGAATTGAACCCTCAACCATCTCTAGGATTTGCATGAAGCAACCTGAAAAAGAGAAACTAGTGGACTTTCTGTGTTAGTTAATTGTGAGAAAGGTGTCATGCACTCCTTACTGTTTCTGGAGCTTTACCGTGTCGTTGTGTCCTCACAGATCCCAGAGGTCCAGTTTTTTGGGGCCAGCACCCTCCACGTTAAGATCTCTCGTCACTGGGGTGACCTGCTCTCAGTTCAGCACGATGACCTCCGGATGCAGCTTCTTTCTCATATCTTACACTTCTCCTCCGGGCCCAAAATGGTGCTGACCCGTCTGTGTGTGGCCTTGGCCTCCATGGCCCTGAACCTGATCCCACAGGCCTGGTCCCAGCCAGTGGCAGACATGGTAAAGGCTTTCCAGCCACAGAAACCTGACTCAGAAGATGGTGCAAAGGCTTGTCAGGACCCCCACTCACACTGCATGACTCTGCTGGAGCTTCTCACCGTACTTCCAGAGGAGTTCCAGAGCTGCCGTCTGGCCCAAGCACGTCGAGCCCAGCTGAGGGATGCTTTAACGGGGGAGTGGTCTGTGGTGTGCACGGTCCTCAGACAGCTCTTGCAAAGCCAAGACTCATCAGATCAGGTAAAGGAGAAGGTGCTCCGCTGTCTGTCCAGCTGGGTTGGGCTGGATGTGCCATTAGGGGGAAGCCATGAACTGGTCCAGGACTGTTTCAGCACACTGTCCAACCCGGCACTGTTTGGCACTGCAGTGGAGACGATAGTTGACTCCATCTCACAGCCTGACTGCCAGAGGTGAGAATGTCCTGGTTCACAGGTGAGGTTCTGTTTCCTGCTGTCCGACTGAGAACTCGTGCTTGCAGGTACGTTAACGCGCTGCTGAGCCTGATGCCTCTGGTTCTCGGCCTCTACGAGCAGCTGAAGGCTGCCGCTCAGGACGGGGACATGGAAACCTCTCACGGGATCTGTCGCATCGCTGTTGCTTTGGGGGAAACCCATTCCAGGTACCCACAATGCACTGCTCTGTCCTAACGCCAGGTGTGAGGACGTGAGTTTGAAGGGTTTTTGTGTGACAGGGTTCTGTTGGAGCAGTTGGACCACTGGCAGGAATACCTGGCTCTGGTTAACATGATCCTGTTCTGTACGGGCATGCCTGGACACTTCCCGGTTAATGAGACCACGAGCTCCCTGACACTTACTTTCTGGTACACGCTGCAGGTGCGTAGAGTCACTCTAATCCCAGATGTCCACCACATGGACACAAAGTCAGTTCAACAGATCTAAAGCTGCGCCTTCGTGTATTTGTAGTGGAGAACACATTCCCTTCACTCAGAGCTAAAACATTTCTGGAGATATCGCGTGAGCTTGTGCATGACGTTGTTTTTTTAGATTTGATCAAAACAAACGTAACAGCAGACATCATTTAATGTGTTGAAATTTCAGGATGACATTTTGTCTTTTGACGAGGAAAAACAGGCAGTTTACCTTCAAGTCTACAGGCCAGTTTACTTCCAACTGGTGGACGTGTTGCTCCGTAAATCCCACTACCCATGTCAGGAGGAGTACACCTCTTGGTCCTCTGATGACAAGGAGCAGTTCAGAATTTACAGGTAAGAAAACTGATAGAAGCACCTTAAATCAGCTCAGATTAAGTCCATTTCCATCCGCGCATCCGGAGTCGGGTCGTGGGGCAGTAGCCTAAGTCGAGAAGCCCAGACTTCCCTCTCCCCAGCCACTTGGGCCAGCACTTCCTAGGAAATGCCAAGGCGTTCTCTGTCCAGGTGAGAGAAGTAGTCCCTTCAACATTGTCCTGGGTCTACCTTTAGGCCTCCTCCCAGTTGGACGTGCCCAGAAAACCTCACCAGGGAGGGGTCCAGGAGGCATCCTGACCAGATGCCCGAACCACCACAACTGGCTCCTCTCGATGTGGATCTCAGATAAAGTTAATCAAACCAAAATATATGAGTCAAAACATCCTTAAAAGAGTTTTGTTGTATTCAACTGCTTTATCTGTTTAGCATGTTCTCCCCATGCATGTGTGGAGGTGTTGTGTTCTCCTTGTAGCGTTAAGGGTTGGCTACATACAGTATATGTTAAATGATCAATAAGATGTGATAATTCCATATAAATATGAAATATCTATCTGATTGGTCTTTTAATGTTTAATCAGAAGAGTTTCGGTTAT